GAGGAATTCCGCAACATGGGAGTGGCAATTCTGCCTGGGACGGGTCGAAGGCAAGTGGAAGGCGCAACGCACAGCCTGCACTCACATACGAAGCGTTTGGAGGTGGCCTTTGGTTGGTCCAGAAAGACTTCAAAAGCTTGCCGAGTTCGTATTACGTTTCACCATCGACGCTTTCCGCGGGCCTGTGTGCGTCGAGTTTTTTTTTTTTTTTGTTTTTTTTTTTCTCGTACTACGTTTCACCATCGACGACTTCCGCGGGCCATTTGTGCGTCGAGCTTTTTGTTCTATATATATATATATATATACATCTATCCTCCTGCACGACTAGCTGGTCGCTGTGGCGCCATCGGGCCCAAGTCGAGCGAGCCGGACGTCCTCTTCATAGTGATGTATTGTAGTGGCCTCCGGCCAGTGCCGCCGATCCGGGGCGCTCCTGATCCTATTGTTGTTGAAATGGACGATGACGACGGCAACGGACGACCAACGGTCGACGAGCGGGATAATTACGACGACGACCGACGAAGGAGTTAATGACGACGAACCGGCGAGGACGACGACGACGACGTCGACGTCGACGTCGACATCGACGACGACGACGACGACGACGGCGGCGGCGGCGACGACGACGACGACTGACGGCGCACGGCTGCCGACGGCCGACGACCGACGACTGGCGACGGCGACGGGTGGAAGGTTCTTCGTTCATCGCTTTCGCTTCCGAGCGATACCAAGTCAGGCCGTGCACCTCTGGCCTGGCACCACGCGAGTGAGCGCCTCTTGGGGCCTCTTGGTTATTGTTGTTTCTTGGGGGCCTTTGGGGCCTCTTGGGGGCCTCTCGGGGTCCTCTCGGTGGCCTATTGGGGACCTCTTGGGGGCCTCTGGGGGCCCGTTGGGGGCGCCTCGGGGGCATCTTGGGGGCTCTTGGGGTCATCTTGGGGTGGAGGTCTAGCAGGGTCCGTTCGGGTTCACGCTCTTGAGGCCATCTTGGGTTTTTTTCGGGGCCGTCTTGGGGGGCCTCCAGGGCTATGTTGGGGCCCTCTTGGACCGTCTTGGCTCCTCTTGGGGGCCCCGTGGGCTGTCTTGGGGCAATATTGGGGGCCTCGTGGACCATTTTCGGCGCTGTCAAGAAAAGGCGATAATGTTAAAATGCTTCAAAACCTATTAGCAATGTTATTATTGTACCGTTTTCGGGCCCTCTTTGGGGTCCTCTTGGGATCTCTTTGAGGCGTCTTGGAGGCCTTTTGGGCCGTGTTCAGGCCATCTTGGGCGTCCAGGGGCGCTCTTGGGCCGTTTCGGGCGCCTCCTGGACCGTCTCGGTGGCCTCCTGGGTCCTTTTTGGCCCGTCTTGGGGCGGTTTGGGATTCCCGGTGGGCGGGGGAGAAAGCGTGGACCCGATGAACCCCCTCCCCCCTTCCCCCCCCTACCCCGGCAGAACCCCCCCACCCCCCCCAGCACAGCTGAAACTCAGGTTGTAGTTTTCTTAAACTCACACTCCGGATCGGCGGATTTCCCAATATCATCCTCGTGTCGGGAAGGCCGGGCGTTCCACCGCACGATCGTGCAGGACATGATCTCATGGTGCAGAGGCGACATGGAGAGCGTGGGGACACGACGCACGCCCTGTATTGGGGTAGATTTGAATGACAAGCTTGGCTACGCGCAGCAGGAGACTGTGGACTGACAACCCATCATCGACGTTGACGACCCACACGTTGGCTGCTTTCAGAGGGAGCAGCAGGGCTTGGCAGCTAAATTGTGGCTTCAGTTCCTGCGCGACTCGGACATGGTGGCGCTAAATGCGGCGTCTCCAGCTGGTGACACCTACTTTGGGGCTCACGGCCAGTCGAGCAGGATAGACTGTCTTCCAGTGCCAGCGGGATTGCTGGCCCGTACAACGCGCTGTAAGGTAAGGTGCTCCGTGGGGCAGGGCGACGGCTACTGCCCATCAGTACACTTGTCGACAGGGGCCACCGTCCAGTCTTCGCGGAGTGCTCTTTCTCCTTCGAAGATCACGCGCAGCCCAGGCAGACATGCGTGGGATTACGACAATATCATGACAACACTCAGAAGGGGCCGAGACGTCCATTGAGGCGGTGGAGTTGGCGCACACCGCGCTGATGGACATCGGCGAAGACAATTGTGTCAGGATGTGCGCTTGGTCGACTGCGGATGGGCCCTGGAACTCTGCAGCCTTGTTTTTGGCCACTGCGGCGAAAGAGGTCTTCTTGAAACCGAGCGCGGAGCAGACCTGGCAGACGGAGCTTGAAAAGCAGAGATCGGACCCACTGGCTCCACGCAAACAGATGCGAGAGGAGCGCGTTGGTCAGCGCCCCCAGGGCCACGTGAACGTGGAATTCGAGCTGGCAGGAGCGTCCTTCCGCGCGCGGCATTTATCTCGCGACGTCGCGATAGCCCGGCACACGGAGCTCGCACGCCATTCGAATGAAGCGTGGAAAGAACGCGATCACAACCTGGCCCAGAAGTTGATCAGGCGTTTGAGCAGACGAGGTCGTGGACACCGACGCAGGATGTAGTTTGCGACGCAGACGGGAACTGCGAGTCGGAGGAGATCCCCAGACATCTCCAGCAACCGGCACGAGGCGGAGGGGTGGGCACGGTGCCATGCGACCTCGAGGCGGAGCTCGCAGAAGGCTTCGACGAGCAGCATCTGATGGACGACGAGGTGCATCGCGCGGATCAGATGCGCCATGGAACAATGCAGAGGCGTAACATTCAACAACCACTACCAAATCTTGAAGGAATAGGTCGGGCACTTCGAGCGCCGACGAGGCGAGCGAGACCGAGCTAGTCGGTGTTTTCTGGGCTACGGTTGCTCCTCCTGGACCCCGAGCCGCGGGGGGAGTTTCGACGCGGCGGCGTCGGTCATGATGCGCAGCCAGCCACATATCAAGCCTCCTCTGAGCGTTTTCTGGACATCATCGCTAGTTTTCGTCGCGCTGGCAAGACCCAGCTTATCTTCGACGTCCCAAGCTGTCTTAGCCTCGACAGACAGTGGGAGTGCTGGGGCCCAGAGCCAGAGATTGACGCGCCTGTTCTGTCTAATTGGCAAGTGTTGGGATTCATGCCCTCGGCGACGCGGTGGCCGAGAACGGGTGCGACTACCCTGCGTCAGCCGCGGTTTCGCGCGACTTTGGCGTCGAGAAGATGCCGTTGCAGCGCGGGCCTGTTGTTCGCGGCGCCTTGAACAGCAGGGCATGTCCCGCATCAGTGTGAGCGGCGATTCTACTTGCGCCTATGCAGGCGCAAAAAGACGCGCCATACTTGACGCACTTGTTGGGTCTCTCTATCTTTCCGAAGATGTTGGTGCCCGGCGCGTCGGGGCAATTGTGGGGCCTCAAACAAACGCAAGCGATGGGCAGGTGGCTCTCCGACCGACCGCGGGCTAGATGATGGGGCGCCCCAGCCCCAACCCAGCGATGGCCTTCCTGTGTCGCCATTTCCTGGGCATCAACCCGCCCCTCTCCAAGCGGGCCCCCGCGCCCCCCAAGTCCGACTCCGAGGCTAGAGAGATCAAAGAGATAGCGACGGTTGCGGGCATCGCGATTTACGCCGACGATATCGCGAAGGCGGCGGTCCCTGAGCAGGCCCCAATGGGCCCCTCAGCTTTGTAGCCACGGCGCGCCCCTCGGGGCAGGCTTCCTCTAGCAGCAGGGCCCTTGCGGGGTCGCCGGGGGGCGTCGGCGTTTGTCTCGACCCTAACGAGAGGGCGTCTCTGGCGCGGATCTTAGGGGCCGGCAGGTTTGCTCAGCGTACGCTTGTCTACAGTCGTTCGGTCCTTGTATCCAGGTCTCTTGGGCCCGTATGTGCGTATCTTTGGGCGGGGGTGGGATGGGCGACTGCGACGAGCTCGTTGCCGGCCGAGAAGGCGAATGGGGCCCAGGCGGGGGGGTCGGGACGAGGCGCGATTAGCAGTTATTTTTTACATCGTGCAGCTTACGGCGCGGAGCGCACGGCGTTGTCGGGCAGGGGGGGGGGGGGGGGGGGTGGGGGGGGGGGGTAGGGGGGGGGGGGGAGGGGGGGGGGGGGGGGGGGGGGGGGGGGGGGGGGGGGGGGGGGGAGGGGGGGGGGGGGGGGGGTCGGATCCCAGATGAGCGCTGTGAGAACGAGTCAGATGCCACTCTCCAGCGCACGACGAGACATTGTCTGGGCAGGAGGGGGCTCACGGGGATACTTGGCGGTGAGCTCGGGCTTTGGTCAGCTACCGAGGTCAACCGTTTCTTGGAGAATTTCCCCGCGACTGCGGAACTTCGAGTCAGGCGCGTTAAGTGGCGCCAGAGTTAGACAGAGTGCCCGACCGACCGCCGGCGGGTGCGGGCTTGCATCCTTGGCAGTCTGGGGGGCGCAGACGTTCTTCCCGGAGAGTACGCCTTGCATACTTCCGCCAACTCCTGGGCTCGACAACTCTCGGCGGACCTAGAGTTCGCTTACTCGAAATCCGAGGAGTTCCAGGACTTGGTGCCACGGGGCGTTTTTCGGTTTCAAATGTTGTATTCGGGTGGCTTCAGGGACTGGGCCTTCATTGATTTCACGATTATTCGGGCCGGTTTTTTTCCGCGCATCGCGTCGCAGCACCGGAGCGCCAACCAGTCCCCGATGGCCCTGGAGGCGCACTTGGGGACGTGGAGGAGCTGCCCAGAAACTTCAGATGCAATATTCGGGACGAGTGTGGACATGTCTGCGGGGCAAAAGTTCCCCACGTGAAATCTCTATTCTTACGCGCGAGGCAGGTGCGCAGGTTGCGAAACGAGGCTTCGCTGTTGACGGTCGCCAGCCAATTCTTTCTGCGCCTGCAAGGTGTGGGCACGCGTGAGAACGCCCAGACACACGCCATGCGAACGCTCGGAAAAATTTCACGAGAGGTCGATGCGCGTTCAGAGATCGCGAGGTAAATACTCCGTTCTCAGTTCAAACTTTTCTTGAACTTCAAGAACGCACGCGACCCCATTGCCCCCAGCCTGCGCCGAGAGCACTTCTTCAAGGCCACGTCGGGCTCCGCACCTGCAGCGGCCGCTGCTCGCGAGCAGCGGGGGGTGGACCTCTCAGAGCTACAAAAGAGGCGCAAACCAGATGCAGGCGCCGAGCCAGCGGCAGGGGGAGTCGCCAGCGTGGCAAATAAGCTCGAGTGCAACGTGGGCGAGGACGCGGGCGCGGCCGAGGACGGTCTCATGGCCGTGGAGCAGGCGCTGCGCCAGAGGGGCCTGCAACTCGCGGTCAACATCCTGTTGGAGATGGCGCGCCAGCGCGCTCAGTTGCTCAGAGACACGGTGGCGTCGGAGCGGGCGGGCATGGTCCCGCCAACGGCGGCGCCGGTGATCGCAGCAGGCCGCGAGGCGGGCAGCGCGCACGCTCGGTGCGCCCAGGTAATGGGGGCCAAGCCACATCTGGGACCTCCGCGCTTGTGCATCGCGCGCGCCGCGCCGCGTGCAAATGCCTGCGCGAGGCGGAGGTGGCCAAGACGACAGCGGCCGACTTTCACTCAGTTCTCAATCCTCTTTCTACGAGCAGTTTATCTCGAACAAGAGCGCGTCGATGACGGCTTTCGGCTTACTCTGTCGCCACTTCCGCTTCGCGAAGTGCCGCGACGACCAGGGCGCGAGGGCGCTGTTATCGATCGCGGACCAGATCGCCCTGAAGACGAGCGTTGGCGTGCTCTCCAGGATCGCATTATTAAGAAGGAGGGCTCTTTCGACAGCGGATGTCACCGGTATTTTTCGACGTGGGAAAGTTGAGCCCACTACGTCTTCATATTCATAATTGTCTCCTTCCTGATTCTGGATTGGTTTCTATGTGGACGGGCCTTGGCTATCACCTTCGGGGCCTGCTCAGTGCGCGGAGTGGGGGCCTTTCACTCCACGCGCATACTTCCAGCTGATGGATGCCCATATCTTCAGAGTTGAGGCTTGACGGGCCGACCTGTATATATTCAAGTGTGCGAGACACCTCTAAGTGAATGCTTGGGGCGTTTACCTGCGCCAGCTGCGTCCAGAGTTCTCATGCCCTCCATTGGCCTTCTGTATTCGACAGTGCTGACGGTTTTTCTTGCTTTCATCAATCGGGGCGTGATCTTGTCCGACCGCCTGATGCACGGGCACAGGGGTGCTGGAGCTGCGGACCTTTGGGGGCGAGGGCTTCATGTAGGCGCCCACCTGCGTCAGCGGCCCTGGCGCAGCCGAGAGGATCATCAACCCTGTTTCGGCCCCCAAACGGGGGGGGGATGATCCTCTCCCGTTTTCCGCCGACCCGCCTGGGTTCCCCGGCGTCGCGTTTCGCGCTTCCTTCTTTTCTCCCTTCGTGCAGTCGCGACCTTGTCTATTAGAGTTTTCCCCTACGAGGGGTCTCGGGGTGGAGGTAGGCCCGCGTTTCTCGCCAGGTGCTGCTTGAAGGATGCCGTGGGGGCCCTTCGATCAGCGGCCAGTGGGGGGCGGTGGCACACCTCCGCCGACCCGTCGTGGGCTGGGATGGGCCCACGTGGGCCCACGGTTTTTCAGGAATTCGTCGGGGCGGGGTGGGTGCTTCGGAGGCTTGTCCGTCGCTTGTCGCGACGTCGGATTTGGCCCCGCCGAGGCCAGCAGGGCATCGCCCGAAGCCCGCGGGATTCTGTTTTTGAGATTTGCACCGGCACGAAGTGTATTTCTTGCTGCACGGTGCGTGCGACAATCGACCTCGCCGACCAGCGTCGACGATTGCTCGAGGTTTCAATGGTTTTTTGCAGCTGCAGCTCGCCCTAGCAAGCACAGCACGAGACCACAAGCAATGCTGAATCATTTTCTGATTCTTCTTCTTCCACCTCTTCCTCCTCCTCCTCCTCCTCCTCCTCCTCCTCCTCCTCCTCCTGTGTGTCCTCCTCCTCCTCCTCCTCCTCCTCCTCCTCCTCCTCCTCGTCGTCCTCCACATCCATCCCCCCTCCAACTTCTGGTGGTGGTGTTGGATAACAGGCCAACCAACAACATCCGACCTGGCCCCAGGATCGAAACGATCCCACGTGGCGCCTCGACTTCGCCCCGGTCTCCTTGTCCGATGCTGGGCACTGCTGCCTTCGGTGTGAGGTAGCGAGGGGGCGACGAATTTTGGGCGCGATCGAAGGCTGCAGGAGAGGAACCCTGAAGGGGCCCCTTGGTGGCCCGAATGTGCACGGAAATGCGCCTTTCGGGGATGGGCAGAGTGTCGAGGTTGGCCGAGAGGACGAGCTAGTCGGTACGTCTTCAAGGCCTTGAAGTCTTGAGTCTTGAGGTTCGGGAGGCGTTCGCTGCCCCGCGTTTGTGCCACGCCGCGGGCATAGGAGGGTGGCCCATCCTGGTCGGCGGACCTGTTTCTAGTAAAATCCGGAAAACAACCCTGGCCCCCTTGGCTCCCAGCGGTGGCCCCCCGCCAGCCCGATCCGCCCTCCCGCCAGCGCCCCAGCGTGGCTCAGATGGCGGACCCGGCGGCCGGCGCCGCGGCGGGCGGGGACCCCCAGCGGGAGCAGGTGCCATTCCTCGTCGTCGTCGGCGTCCTCCTCGTTCTTGTTGTCCTCGTTCTCTGGTCCTCTGCCTCCTCGTCCCGGCTCTCTCGTTCGTCGCGTTCGTCCCCTGTGTCATCGTCGTCCTCGTCTTCCGTCCCGTCCTCCGCCCTGCCCTCCTCTCGTCCTCGTATTCTTCTGCCCGCTTCCTCAGCTTGGTGTTCGTCTTTGTCCTCCCCCTCGTCCTCCTCGTCCCTCTTCCTGCCCCCCCCTCCTTTCAGGTGCTCGCCAACTATGTGAAGAAGGTGCAGGCTCGCACATCGACCGTTGCGCGATGCGGGCGGGGAAGGAAGATGATAATAAGAAGGAGAAACAGAATGAGAAGGAGGAAGAAGGGGGAGGGACCCAGGAGGGCGTTGCGGAAGGAGGCTCTTGGAAGTTTGGGGAATTTGTGACGGCCATATGATGAGGAATCGGAGGACTGTGAGGATGAGAGCGCAGGGAGGATCTATACATGGAGGGGGAACTTAAGCATATTCTGATGAGGTTGACGGTACGAGTTGATCATGCCGCAGCAGCTCCTTGACATCCCCATTTCCATATGTTCGTCTTACGCCTCTTCGTCTTCCCCTCCTGTGTTCTGCTGCAGCTGCGCCTCATCTTTCTGTAACACGTAATATCTGCTCCACCTCCCCCCCGCTTATCATAGTCCCTGCTCTCATCATCCGCCTCCTCCTCCCCCTATTCCTCGTTCCTGCTGAGGTGGGGTGGGGGGGAAATTGGAGTGTAGAGGGAGGAGAGTGGGAGGGAAAGAGGTTCCGACCAAGTGGGCTGGCGGCGTGGTTGAGGCTTCTCCTCATCCACCTCCCCCGAAGGGGGAGTTGGGATGAGAGGACTCTAATTTGAGACGGAGACGGGAGATAAAGAGAGCGATGAAGGCGAGGAGGAGGAGGAGGAGGAGGAGGAGGAGGAGGAGTAATAGAAGGAGGAAGAGGAGCACACATATGGCAAACCCGAGATGGATGAGGAGCGGGCAGCGGGAGGAGGATGACGAGGTTTACGAGAAGAAGGTGGAAGGGGCATAGGGAATAGGAGTTGGAGGAGGAGTACGAATAAGGATGAGGATTGCGAGAAGGAGGAGAACGACCAGGAGCACGACGGTCACGGCGACGAGGACCATGATGATAATGATGATTGCAAGACGGGCGACGATGGATTACCAGGACGAAGGATGTTGTATGTGTATGTGGATGAGGAGGATGACAACGCGGAATCTCGAGATTTGGGGAGGACGGGGGAACGGGATACCAACATGTAAGTGTCTTGGTGAAGAGGGGGGAAAAGAGAACTCCCACGATCACAACGACGAGGGAGGGCTTGAGGAGCAGGGATGGAGGTGGAGGATGAAGGGGCCTGAGGATGATACTTGCATTGGAAGGGGGCTGCGGAGATGGAGGAGGAGGAGGAGGGAAGATGGAACATGATGACGAGCATAGGAGGAAGACGAGGAACATAGGATGCGAGGGCTCCGATCCCGCTCAGGATGAGGACAGGGAAGGGGGACGCGGGGGGGCAAATGAGAGAGGATGGCCAAAGAAGGATCGCGGACCGAGGATCGAGGGCAGGAGGAGGAGGAGGAGGCGGAGGAGCAGGTGGAGGAGGAGGCGGAGGAGGAGGAGGAGGAGGAAGACGCGACGGCTCACGCAAGCGGGCGTGTGTCCAACACGGGCAGAGGGGCACTGAGGGTGGCGGCGGAGCGCGGGGGGGAGTGCCATTTTGGTCATCCGTCGGGCGCCCCCCTCTACCCGGGGCCTCGCAGCGGCGGTTTCTTGACGTGCAGGAGCACCGTGAATTCGAGTCGCGGGTCAAGAAGTTGAGGGAGACCGTCAGGGCCAACAGCGTGGACTTCGACAAGACTGAGGAATGGGCCATCTTCCTCTGGCTTCCGCTGCTCCCAGTTGTCCCTCTCTGCCTCCTCGTCCCCAGAGGGAGAGGAGGAGGGAGGGAAGGAGGAAGAGGAGGAGGAGGACGAGAAGGTGGCTTGTCTTCCACCTTTCATCATGCATCCTGGTTATGCTCTTTCCATCTGCGTCGTCTTTATTCTCTTCGTCTTGCTCCGCCCGACTTCGGTTTCTACTTCTGTTGCTCCTCTTTCTCCTTCCGACACCACATTCAATGGTCGCTCGTGATTATCCGAGCTTTCTCACTCTCTCTCATTCTCTCCGTGCGTTTCTCTCGATAGTTCCTCTGACTCCCTCCCTCTTGCCTTGTCCCTCCTCCCCGCCCTGTCACCCTGCGAATCGCCTCTCTTGCCCCTTTCCCCATCTGCCCCCTCTTCTCCCCCCCCTTCTCTCCTCCCCCTTTCCCTCTTTCTTGTTCCCTCCCTCTTCTCTCCCCCCCTGTGCCTTCCCTCCCCCCTTGCTTCCTTCCCCCTCCCCACTCGAGGCGTGCGGCCTCTGCTTTCCCCGCTTGCCCCCTGCCCTCGGCGCTCGGGCCTTCTGGCCTGTCCCCTCCTGCGGCCCCGGTACCAACTCAGCCCGCAGGGCCCTGTGGGCCACCGTGGCAGGGCGTGCGGGGGCGGGTTGTCCAGTCAGGCCAGGAGGGCGTGGCACGGCAGAGGGAGGGAGGGGCAGTGGGAGTATGATGATGAGGAGGAGGAGGAGGAGGCGGAGGCGGAGGAGGAGGGGGAGGAGGAGGAGGCAGAGGGAGGGACGAGGGAGACCGGAGAGATACCAGGCCTCCCAGGTGGTGTCTGGGCAAACGGCGTCGGGGTGGTCGCCCCGCATTGCCGATGCATCTGCGATGCAGTTCGACGTGGGGCCTGATGCTCCCCACGGTGGTGTCGCTGATGCATAGCAGACGTCGCCCATGCATCGGCGATGCGTCTGCGCTGCTGCGCGATCCTCTGACCTCATCTGGTGGTTGGGGAAGAGGAGGGGAAGGGGGAGGGGAGGAGGATGAGAAGGTGACGGAGGGAGGCCAGTGCAAGCCCAATACGCGTCAACGAGTTCGCGATACATTCTTCCACAAAACTCTCTCTTCATAGGTCGCGATACGTGCTGCAACTGCCCCGTTGGAGAACAGGCGTCTGGAAATGTTCAATCGTGCCAAAACGCCACTCCTTGGACATCATCGCTGCGAATCAACTTGATTGTGGCGTCCTGACCATCCTGCATCGTGCCAGAGCGCCGTCCCCGGGACCTCAACACCGGGAATCAACTGGACTTTCGCGCCCAAGCCATCCTATTCCGTACTGGAGCACCGTTGTTTCGACGTCAAGCGCAATCATAATATTAGATTTTAAGACTGATTTGCGCCATCCGCACTCCATCCAGTTAACCCAAGCAAACGTTCAAGACGAATATGCTTGGAGTTTTTGCGAGAGCCCCATTTTGAAAACTACCCACCCTCCATCCGTGAAGTTCAGGCCACTGTTTAAGACGAGTGTGCGCGGTGCTACGTTCAGAGCCATATGTTGAAAACCACTCGCTCACCCACCCTCCATGCGTGAAGCGCATGCAAACTATGTGCGTGGCACCATGAAAACTACCTATACGACCACCCTTCGGGTGATAAGGAGGTTGGGGGGGGATGGGTTGGAACCGACATATCACTCAATCGATCTCACTATCGATCTCACTCAGCGGGACACCACGGGATGCCACGGGACACCACGGGACACCACGGGACACTTGTCGATTTCATAATCGATCTCATTATCGATCTCACTCAACGGGACACCACGGGCGAATGCGGGCCACCACTGGACACTCCGGGACACCGCGGGACACCTGTCGATCTCACTATCGGTCTCACTATCGATCTCATTATCGATCTCACTCAACGGGACACCAGGGGACACCTTTTGACACCACATCGATCTCACTATCGATCTCACTATCGAGCTCACTGTCGATCTCACTCAACGGGACACCACGGGACACCTGTCGACTTCACAGTCGATCTCATTATTTGGGACACCACGGGACACCTCGGGGCACCACATCGATCTCACTATCGATCTCACTCAACAGGGCACCACGGGACACCACGGGACACCGCGGGACACCACGGGACACCGCGGGACACCGCGAGCCACTGCCAGACGGGCGGGAGGGGGATAATCATTTGTCTTGCCTTCGCCCTAGCAACGGCGGACACCACGGGACACCGCTGGGCATCGCGGGCCACCGCTGGACGGGCGGGAGGGGGATACTTATTTGTTTTGACTTCGCCCTAGCACCGGCGGGTTCATTCCTCTCGCGCGCCCACGCAGCTTCGCCTCGCACGCACGCACGACACGAACGAAACGAAACGTTTGGCAGGTTTGGGGTCTCCGTTCCACTGCGATCTCGCCCCCGAACCTCCGATCTGTCCTCCATCCGTGAATCTTTTGCAAACTTGTGAACGAATGTGCGAGGCGCTAAGGCGAGGGCCACATTTTGAAAACCGCCAGCCCTTCATCCGTGAAGATGTGTGTATGCTTCTGGACATTAATTAGTGAAGGAACTTCTGGCGAAACGCCCTGCCTGCCCTTCCGACACGAATCGGGGCGCGAGAGGGATGATCTGTTCAAAAGGAGGAGGAGGCGGAGCAGGAGGAGGTGGGAGCCTGGAGTGCGCGCATGCGCGGCGCACCATGTCCTGCCGATTGGACGTTGGCGCCGTTTTGGGCGTGCCTGCGCTGGGTCCGCGTCGCGAGCTCCCACGGTCTTGGCGGGTGCCGGGGCACCCGGCGCCGTGGGCCAGCACCCAGCATGGCCTGGAGGCCATTTCGTCGCCGGGCGCGGGGGCGTTGTTGCCGCAGGAGGTGGCCCTGGATCTCTGACCGCAGCCCAGGACGGGTGGGTGACCCGCGGGTGGGTGGCCCGCGTGCTTGTGGCCGGCAGGCCTGAGGGGGTCCCAACAGGCCGGGGAAGGGGCCCGCTGGCCAGGGAGGTAACGAGGCGGGCGGAGGGCGTGGGGGTGGGAGTGGGTGTTGCCCACTTGTCGGGTCGGGGAGAGGAGCGTGGCCACCGCGCCCGGTGTTGTGCACATCATTCGGCGTGGGCTCGCGAGCGCGAGACGTCCAACAGCAGTCCTCCATTATGTTGCGAGCGCAGCCCCGCCTATCTTGGTTTGTACGTACTGCGGCTCCCAACTTGCCTCGCCCCCTTGACATGAATCGAGCCGGACGAAATGGAGGGATTGGGAAAGGGGGAAATGGGGGGTTACGAAATTTGCTGCATGCAGCTGGTTTCGGCCTCACCGAGGGGCCCATTCCTCGATACATTGCCGCCTCCGGCGCCGGGAGGCGCCGGGAAAATCAGCTACGTGAGCTGATTCTCAACCCCCCCCTTTGCTATCCCCCCCTTTCGCCCGACCCGAATGAAGGGATCCGTTTGGCCCGGCACGATTTTGCTGCGCTACGATTTAGCGCCACGGTATCGGCGTCGCTTGACCTAGTCAGTTTGGCGCTGGTTCGGCTTTGGCCAAGCCGGTCTGGGTTTGTTTTTTTGTCGGTTGGTTCCAGCTTTCGCACGGCGCACTCCGATAGGTTCGATTACCGCACCGCTTTGCGAAGCCCCTGTGTGTCTTTTCAGATCGCGGCTGCGGCACGGCACGCTTCGACGCGGTACTCGTGCGGCTAATCCGCGGTGCCGGCAAGAGCGTGTGGTCCCTGCCCCGTGCAGGTGGTCCCCTTGGTGTCCCTTGTCCTCGTGGTCCCTCCGCGTGGTGTCTCTGGTGGCCTTTGCCCCCCCCCCCGTCGTGCGACCGGGGGCTCCCAAAGTGGGCGTGGCGACCACACCGCGTGGTGAGTCAGCGAGCACTCGGGGTCACCGCACGGTTTGGGGACACGGGTGGTTCTCCGAGGACGTCTCGGGCGACGGGGGCCTCCATGGTCTCACAACCGTGTAGTGTCGGTCCGCGCGGTGAGGTCGTTGGGAATTTCGTGGTCACCACGTGGTCCTTCACCATACGGTTTGGGTGCCCCGACAGGGTGGTCCGTGCCCCCCCTGTCGTGCAAGCCTCCTGTGGTCTCTCCGTGGCGCGTCCATGCGGTTCCCTTTCACGGTCTCGCCTCCCTGTGGTCTCAAATTTCCGCGTAGCCCTTCCCGTAGTTCACCCTTCCTCGGGCGCTTTCGGTCCTGGCGTTTCCCCATGGTCCTGGCCGGGGTCCCTCCCGTGGACCCGCCCTTTTCCCCAGGGCATGACCCATGGCCCTCTCCGTGGTCCCTCACCGCTGGGGTTGCTAAGGGGATTGGGGGATCTAAGTTGATGCCGTGGTGGGCGGAAGCTGGCCTGATCTAGCATGTGAGTGGGCTGGAAGTGCCCTCAGCGGCTTTTGGGGGGCAGCGATCTGGCCGAAATCGGCGCAGCCCACTTACGTAGCACAGTCACCTAGACCCTTTGTGAAGTCGCTCGGGGCGTCCCATTTGCAGGGTAGCCAAAGCCAGATATAAGCCACACTCGAATCCACTTCTATTCCCCTACCCCCTTCGCAACCTCAGCGGCGGTCCCTCGCCCGGTCCTCCCGTGCACCTTGCCATGCGGCGTTCTCGCCGTGGCCCTTTTCCTGTGGTCCTGGGCCGCGGTCTTCTGTGATCCGGTTTGTGGTCGTCCTGCGGTCCCGTAGGGGACTGGTCTGGGACGTCCCGATCGCTCTCTCTCTCGGGTTCGGGTCGTCCCGTTCTGGTTCGGTTCGGTCTCCCCTGCCCTGGTTCTGAGCTAGTTCGGATCGGGTTCGGGTTTCTGCTGGTGCTCGTCCAGTTCTGTCTGGTGATGCTTCTCGGTTGCCGATTCGGTTTGGTCTTTCCATGCCTTGATCAACAAGTGGCAGCGAAGAGCAAAATGGGTCGGATGAAGGCGGCAGGGGACCCGAGCGCTGGTGTTGAGAGCAGGTGAAGTAGCATGATGATTTTGAGGAGGACGAGGAGAAGGAGGAAGTGCGGTGCAGGAGGAGCGGAGTGGAGGAGGGGAGGGAGGGAACGGGGAGGGGTCAGGAGAAGGTGAGCGCCTGCGCCCGTCCGCGGAGGACCACCTGAAGGCGCTCCAGAGCGTGGGCCAGATCATCGGCGAGGTGCTGAGGCAGCTGGACGAGGAGCGCTACATCGTCAAGGCCCACGGCGGCAGGGAGGAATCGAGTCCTCACTCCCGACTGCTCCCTCCTCTCTTCTTCTCCTTTTCTGTGTCCTCCCGAGCCGTGGGTGATCCTCCATGCCTGAGAGCTCCATTAAGGACGACTCTTGCGCTTCCCAAGCAATTCGGCCCCTGGTTTTGCTTCGGCTTGGCTCGGGTTGTCCCGCGGCTGTCCTGCGGTTGTCCTGTGGTTGTCCCGCGGCTTTGCCGGGGCGTCCCGCGGGTTGGCCGCCCAACCGTCCGGTTTGCTTCGGTTGTCCCGTGTTTGTTCCGCGGTTGTCCCGCGGCTGTCCCGCGGCTGTCCTGGCAGCCCTGCGCGTTCCTGGGATTCTTCAGAATGTCTTTCAGGTCGTCATTCGCAGCAGCACGCAGCATATCGTGTCGTTTTACACCATCGGCATCACCATTGTAGTTGCAGTGACAACGGCGGACATTATTGTCATCGTACGGCGGCGACGGCGACGGCGAAAGCAGTGAACCATCAGTCATTTCAGATTTTTCGCTCTGAGAGCGTCCTGTGTGGCCATTGCGTAGGGCCTTTTATACGCCAGTTTGGAGGACCCTTCGGCCCTCCTGGGTCTCCCTTGGGGCCTTCAAGGGCTCTTCTGGGGTTCTCTTGGACCCCCCAATGGAGGCCCTGGGCCATCTTGGAGGTCATCGTTTTCCAGGAACGGGAGGTATTAATTTGCCCCCCCGTCGGGGCTTTCAAAATCGCCCCGGGGCCGTGCTGGGACGCGTTTCGGGCGCAATTGGGCGCAAGTGGGGCCGTCTCAGGGTCCTCTTGGGCCCCTCGTGGGGAACGTTTGGGCCATGGAACCATCCGCAGGCTGCGTGAATCCATCGGAAGCGAAAAAGGTGAGAAAACTGTCCACATATACTGTACACACGCTTTTTGAAGGATGTTTGTTTCTTGGGGTCATCCTTGGGAGGCGCCGTGGTCACTTGGGGCCGCCTCGGGACTTGTTTGAGGCATGTTGGAAGCGAAATGATAACAATTGTGGTCTGTCTGGGGCGATCCCGGAAGCTATCTTTGGTTATTTCGCGTCGTCTTGGGGCCATTTTGTGCCAGATTGGACGTTCCAACTGGTCGCGGAGGGGGGGGGCGGTTCAAAACCCAGGGGGCGTGGGGGGGAACCCCCTCCCCGGTAATGAAGGACACAGGCGTGGACTTGGCGGGCGCCAGATAGGAAGGAATCGTCAGGTGCGAACTGCAAGATCAGACGGCAAACTATGAGCACTCAAGTAGAAACATGCATAATTTGATGCGAGACGGCATGGGCCCGTGGAAGTCATTGAACCCCCTGCTTGCTGAGCACCTGTAGAAGAAAAACACGGGGGCACAGGAGCTCTTGCAAGCACCAGTGAAGACACGCGTTGGTAGGTCAAGGGGTCGAGACACATCTGACCAGTGATTCGCTGGCTGGGTGGGCACGCTTGCGTGCGCGAGCAAACCTGCGGGATTGAACGCGAGCACGCGCGAACGCATGAATGCACGGGTGCGTGCGTGAGCTTGATTTACGGGCGGACGCGCCGAAATCTCAGCGGCGTTTTAGGGCGCGAGTGGTCTGAGGGGCTCGTTCTTCCCACCCCCATTGGCCCCTGTCTGGTCCTGATGCGACCCCGCCGCCGTGCTACAGAATTGCTGCCGCTGCGCAGCCGCCCTCAACTGCTTTGCTGCGGCTGTCCCCGTCTTCCCTCGCCTCGGCGTCATGGCCGCGCAGAGGTCCCGCGGCTTTCCCGCGCGCGCCTTTCTGTGCAGGAGGGGGGGGTCGCCTCGACGGACGCATGCCGCCTCCTCACTTCCGCTCGAAGAGCATCTTGAAACCGTCTTGGGACCATAGTGGGGCTATTCTTGGAGCGCTCGAGGCCCTCTGTGGGCCACTTCGGGGGCCTCTGGGTGCCCTTTCGGGGTCCTCTTCGAGGACGTCGATCGAGGAAGGGGTTGCCCCAATTAGACCCGCCCCCTTCGAGCCAGACGAGTCGCCTAATGATGCCGTGCCGGTGCACTCTTGGGCGCTCATCTGGCCGTATTTGGCCTCGTCTGGGCCCCTCGTCTGGCTCCCCTGGGCGTTCTGGGGGCCACTCTGAGGCTTCGGGGCCCCCTCGGAAGCGAGAGGGCGGGTCGATCTATCATTGATGAGGTCTCTAGGAGGCATTTGGAAAGGCATCTGGAGCTTTCCTGGGCCATTTGCGCCACATTCGGGGCCTGCCTGACCTATATGAAGCCACCTTCAGGGTGTTCGCAGTTCGGTCGGTTCGGCTGCGTCCCAGTCGGTGGCGTCTGGTCGGTTCGGTTCGGTCGGTCATTGTGTCGTGCCCGCGGCGCTGCGTCTTTACTGGCTGCTTTCGGCCTGTCAGGTTCGGCTGGTTTCTGTTTTGCTGTCGGCCGGTGTTCGGTTTTGCTGTCGCCGTGCGCGGCCTTGGTTCTGGAGCCACTTAGGCCCAGGAGCCTTCCGCGGATACGCTCGAGATGTGCACATGTGTCAAAGAGGAACCGTTGGTTCAATATATCTGGGATTGAGCGAATGGGGCGGCGCCGATTGGCACCGCCCTTCGTCAGCAATGAAATCACCTCTTGCTTGCAGGCGACGCGCATAGGAGGGATGAACCGATTTCAACGGTTCCCTTTGCATCCTTGCCCCGTCGGTCCGTCTGTGGCAACCTTCGCTGGCCAGCCCCGTTCGGAAATCGCCAGCATGGTCTTCTAAGGCCCTTGCATCCTTACACCGCATCCTGACTATGCTTTTTGACTGTGCCCTCTCGGGGGATCCTTCTGACCCGCAGACAATGATCTCTTTTCATGAGGCTTCCGACGTCAACCAATGATGGGGGAGTCATTATGCCATCATTTTCGTCTGGCCGGGCATGCCCTAGCGCGCGTCCGTGTTTTTGCAACTTACCTTCTTGGCGCCTCGCCTACCCGCACCAACCCAATTGCAAACAACGGGTATGTTTGTTGCAGTGGTCAGGGAAGTGTGGGAGCATGCAGTACACCGAGGAGTGGCGGCCGCCAAGCCGAAAATCGAGGCCAGCCCTGGGTGGCCGAGGATGCCCTCCCCCTGCTCCCTGTCTTCGCCCCCTGACGGGCAGCGGCTCGCGAGTGGCGGGGCCTCCGAGGAGGCCAGCTCGGGCGTGCTCAAAGCGAGGGGCGGCGGCACCGGTGAGCGCGCAACGATCTTTGCCCGGCGACGCGCCGCGCCACCACCGAGGCCGGACACGAGCCGAGTCGAGCCGTCTTCCTCCTCCTGCTCCTCCTCCTCCTCCTCCTCCTCCTCCTCCTCTTCCTCCCCCCTTCCGCCCAGCGCTATAGGCGTCAAGCGGGCCGCGCTACGTCGTGACGTGCAAGGCGCCCCCCTGGCTCTGCGGGCGGGGGGGCGATGGGGAGCCCGAGGGGTGTGGGAGGGGTGGGGGCGTCGGAGGAGGAGAGGCGGGGGGAGAGGAGGAGTGCTGGTGGTGGGGGGGCAGCGGAACCGAGGGTGGGGGGGAGGGGGGGGAGTCGGGAGAGGAGGGTGCGAGAGGGGGTGGGAGGTGGAGTAGGAGCGGGGGGGAGGAGGAGGAGAAGGAGAAGAGGGGAGGACAGGAGAGGAGGAGGAGGAGGAGGAGGAGGAGGAGGAAGCGGCGGGAAGGGATGAGTACCAAGAGGAGGGGGGTGCAGCGGGGAGGAGGCTTGAATGAGGAGGAGAAGGAACAGGAGGTGAAGCTCTTACGGGGAGGATGAGGAGGAAAGCGGTCACGGGGAGGAGGAAAGGAGGAGGAGGAGGAAGGAGGAGGAGGCGGAGGAGGAGGAGGTGCTAAAGCTTACTTGAGGGGGCGGCGTGGTTGTAGGGGGAGGTAGTGGTCGGGGAAGCAGGGTAAGGCAGGAAGACAGGTTGAAAGGTATGCAGCACGAGTGGGGGGAGGGGAGAGGGAGCGGGGGAGAGGTGGGGCAAGGAACGCGGGAGGTCCCTCTGTTGCATTCGTGGACGGGCCATCCGAGGAAGGAGAACACGTTCACAGTGGCCATACAGCTGGCACGAGGGTCAAGAACATTATTGACTTTGGAGGGGTACCCCTATTTTTTTCACGGTTGGGCGTTCTGCTTGGGGACGTTCTTCGTCATCATAATATCCTTCGGTTTTTGGTCTTTCGGCGAGGGGGCCAATCTTCTTGATCTCTGGTCTTGTCACCATGTCGACTCTAGGTGTGTGGACATTCTTGTTTAGGGGGCAGATGGCCAGATCTCAAATACCAATCCGAACCTGGCACGCACCTGCCACTCTGTCTTCCGTCCGCGGGGGGAACGGATGTCAAATGTGCATCTGCCAGCTCATTGTTGCCCACTGCCCTTGGAACGCGCCTTCAGGAGCGTGTCACCTCTTTTCCTGTTTGCAGCATGCACCAAGCCGCGAGACATGTACCGAGCCGCAGGGAGGTGCTTCCTGGATCTGGTGCCCCAAAAGCTCGGGGGACAGTGACAGGAGCGCACCACGCGTCGGTAGGCGCCCCGTCTATCTGTTTTCGTTCAAGCGCTTGTCTCTCAATGCTTCCTTTGGCCCGGTCCACAAAGTCTGCCTCGAGGCAGTGGTGTGTGCAATGAATCTAGACTTCGCAGGTTGGGGTCCGAGTTCATGGTGTCGTAGGATCGCTTCGCATTGCTGATGTATCGGCGATGCGGCTCGATGTGGAGCTTGAGTTTCTCCACGCCGATGGCGCCGATGCATCGCCGATGTCGCCGATGCATCGCCAATGCGTTGGGGATGCATTGACGATGCGGCGCGAACCTCCGACCCAGTCTTCTCGGACCCCATGTAGGGGACCTCTCATGAAGAGCATTGGTGCTATTGTTTTGGGCTCTGCCAGAGCATGCTCTCGCAAAGCCTTCTTTGTTGCGCTGGTGGTTTGGCCTTTCTGTTGCCTGTGCGGCGTTGCACTGGTGTTACCCATCTCATACCACCTGAAGCTGTGGGCGGAGAGAGCCGCATGGGCCGTTGTGCTGTTGTTGCGCCGCGTGCAGGGGATGCTGCAGTCTTCCGTCGGGTGGCCCCTGAATGGCTACGCGGAGACAGCGGCTGATGCAGGGAACGCCACCGAGGCCGCGGTGGCGATACATGCCGCCAAGATGACAAGGGCAGGCGGTGCCGCCGAAGGCAAGGCCGCGGAGTCTGAACGACAGAGCGTAGGTCGGGCTCCTCCAGCTCCTCCGCCCGCCACTCCACGGAAGCATACGTGCGGAGGCCTGGTGCCATATCACAGCGAGAGCATGGCGGTGGTCGACGACGCCGTGTGGGACGCTGGGCTCCAGCTCGCGGCGCCAGTTTCGGTGTCTCGTGGCCCTTGCCGGGCATCGGGAGCGCCACACATCAACTCGCGATGAAAAACGGGTCCCTGGTCGGAGGTCTGGCATCATTGCCCCTCCTCCCTTGCATCGCAGTTGGCTTCAGGCAGGCGCCTTGGAATTTCCAACTGCCGATCCGCTCCCTCTCCTCTTCCGCAGGGGGCAGCTGGACACCACCGTGCCTCTGGCCAGGGCCATCCTGGGCATCAGGAATAGTGCACAGACCCCGGCGGGGTCGGTCAGGAGGGCGTACGCACCATGTGCAGGAGGGGAAGAAACAACGACACAATGAATCGTCGATTCCCAGGAACATATGGGGAACTGTCGGAAGTGGGGAGGAAGGCAACAACCCAGAAAATATGAGAAGAGACTGGGAATCCTGGGATGTGTGTATATTTAGTTGTGTGTCATTGAGCCTCTTTACATGCCGGTGTCAGGGATTGCACGGGGGGGATGCATAGATGTTTTAAGCGTCTACTCGTCCTCCTTTTCCTCCCTCCTCCTCTCACTCCTCGACGTCAAAGGTGAAGATTGACAAGAGCAAGCTGGTCTCTGGCACGCGGGTCGCCCTCGACATGACCACGCTGACCATCATGCGGTACCTGCCGCGCGAGGCCCGCCCATCGGACCCCAAGTCAAGGGGGAGGGGGGGGGAGGAGGAGACGAGTAGGGGATAGACTGCAGAATTGATTTGCCCCAAAATGTTTGTTTCGTCGGATCTACGAACGTACGTAGAAATTCCGTAGATCTACGAAGCATTATACGCATCGTCTTCGTAGTTTTGACGAACAAATCAAGTTTGGTGTTCATCAATTATGTAGTCGATCCCCTCCTCCTTGGCACCAGCGACGACGTTCGAAGAAGACACAGCGGCATCAACGCCAACTTTTTTTTTAGCTCAGCGCGGAGTTCAGGGATCCGCGTTGAATCTGGCGCCTCCGCAGGCGCGCTCCGCGCGCCGGGCAGGGTGAGTGCAGCGCGGATTCTAAGACATACGCGCGAACCTCCACACGTGTATACGTATACCGTTTGTTGACACCCGAGGCATCGAATAGTTGTGCGTCAGCATCGGACGAGGAATGGTGGGGTTTGCAGGAGACTGTTGTGTATGGCTGCTTCTGCATCACGCCCGACCACGCGAGCGGCCACGGCCGCTCTACGAAGCCAGCGCATCGGCTCGCCCTTCACTCGAGGGCATTTCGCGCCATCTTTCGTCTCCTCCTCCTCCTCCTGCGTCTCCTCCTCCTCCTCCCTCTCCTCCTCCTCATCCTCTTCCTCCTCCTCCTCCTCCTGCTGCTCCTCCTCCTCCTCTGCTTCCTCCTC